TAATCGGTAGGGCGAATAATTTTTTCCCCATAAGAAATAATGGAAATCAAATTAATCCGTAAGGACACCCAAAAATATTTAAAAAAAAAAATTTTTTCCCCGTTTAAATATACATTTTCCCCAAAACAAAAGAGAAAGGGTTCATGCACAATAGTAGAGAGTACATGCACAGTATATATTGTGCATGTACTAGTCTTTCTAAATGAAGAAATAAATTTACACTTTTCCTTTTTTGAAGATGCAGCCAAAGACCCGATGAGAACTGATCCCGGGAGTGCCTTTTCCTCCTGAGTACTGAAATTGTTTGGTTTTTTCTTTCCCGAACATGCCTTATCCACCCCTGTGTATGTCACTACGGTTTTTAAAATTCCCCCAAACCAACCCCTTTTCTGGCTTTAAAATTTACCCAAGATGAGCCCCTAGTTTCCCCGGCCCTTTTTCCCCCGTTTACCTGGGTTTTAGTCGACTGGTGTTTGGGGTTATCCTGGGAGACAAGATTAAGGACCCCATGGGAAAAAAGTTAGACAGTCTTCAATGACACTCACTTTTTTTTGGGGGGATCCCGGTGGCCGATCCTCTGGGGGTTTAAGTTTCTTGGGGATATTCTCAATAAGCCCCACCAACAATAGTGCTACAGCAGCAGCAGACGATGCTACACAAACGCCAGACGATGCTAAACAGCAGCAGCAGACGTGCACAAAGGCAGCACAAGGGAGCAGCTACCAGGGCAGCAGCAGCAGCCGGAAAACCCCCAATAGTAGCGATGGTTGATTGGGGTTTCTTGTAAACCTGGGCCCGGTCGGCCCATACGCACTCCACTTTTTTATTATCAATGATCTCTTTCTTTTATCTTTTATTGGAATTCCCCACCCCTTTTTGCTTTTAGGGTTGGCACTAGAAGCTTTCTTGGGGCCCATGGTCACTTATTTTCCAGAAAAAGCACCGAAAACACTGTAATAATATGAAATATTCCGATTGTATGCTTGGCGGTAACATCCAAGCTGGCTGGTAAACAATGCCACCGGCGGCACATGTGAGGCTGGCTGAGGGCGCACATTGGACGCGTCTCGGACGAACATCGGTGAGCGGGTTTTTAAGCAGTATGCGAGGCAAAATTTTTGCGATTAAAGCAAGCGGTATGCGGATTAATCGTTATGTGATGCCATCGGTATGCGGGGGTCCACTGTACTATCATTATGCCCTTCATCATATCTTGTATGCTTATTTATCGTCTTTTTCTTAAAATATGTGTTACCTATAACCAAACCCCTTTCTATACATAGTTCAATCAAAGGGCCTCTATTATCATTTACACCTGGCTCCCCAAACTTACCTACCACACCCTCTCTAAATGGTTCTCATACTTTAGCGTTTAGGTCCCCTACGACAATTACTCTCTCACTTGGTTCAAAAGTTCCTAGACACTCGCTTAACATCTCCCAAAATCTCTCTCTCTCCTCTGCATTCCTCTCTTCTCCAGGTGCATACACTTATTATGACCCACTTTTTGCATCCAACTCTTATTTTAATCCACATAATTTTTTAATTTACATTTATATGCATTAATAGTGGCGAATAGGTGGTGGATGGAGATGAGATTGTGTTGTCATGATCTTAATAAGAATGGATAATTGTTATGAATGGACTTTGTCCATCGTTTTCAAATTGATTAACTAAAACGATTGTCCTGTTTTTCTGAAGTCCATTAAGCTGATGACCCTTAAATTAAGAGGTTTAATTACCCAGTAAGGTTCACTGGTGTTTAGTACAGCGTTTCCTCACTTAATGACGGAGTTGCGTTTCTAAGACCTCGTTGGTAAATGAATTTGTTGCTAAGTAAGGATCATACTATAATGGTAGTGGGTTTGTGCCAACCATCTTTGATATTGTTTTAATGTCACCTTTGCACCATTTACTGTAACATTTCTGGGATATATTTAAATGTTTATGTAGTAGTGTACTGTATATTGTAAAAACAGAATACAGGAAATCAGCTCTGATACACATTATGTAGACAGCTTGTACTGTCTGCACAGACAGCCTATACTGTCTGCCAGCTTAGTTCATATTTCACGGCACTCAGGTGCTGCCCTTTAGGCCTGCCAGGTCAGTGGGACGCTGGTCCCACTCGCTCACTCACTCAATGGCCTAGAAGCAGACAACAGGGTGACTCCTATCTCCTTGTGGCCATGGAACTTAACACATGACATGGGCACCCCAGATACCGCAGTTAAAAATAGTGTCCTGGAACCATTTATCATTGAACCCTGCTTTCAGCTCACCAAATAATCTCGTTCACATTGGTGGGAAGCGGTGGTCGCAGCAAGTTGTGTTTGTCTGGAGAGAGGAAGGAAGAAGGAATGAAGTTCTTCACTTCATCACCCTACACAAGAAACATTCGTCTCTCAATGAGTTATCCTGATGTCGCATCTGCACGTTTCAGCATCTAGACACAGGTACAAGCAGGATCTAGCTGAAATTTGCCGAACTTCTTCGATGAATTGCAAGTGGCATCCCAGTGACCCCACGCTACAGTGTCCCATGCTGTTTCTCAAGTCACGTGTTCAGCGTCACTTGTAGGTTCTGCTGCTCTTGTTCAGCTCAGCACAGCTATTTCAGCAAGCCAGAGGCGAGTTTTGTGGTGATTTTTGCGTCCAGTGTGAGTTTCTCCACGTGTTTGTGGGTGGGAGAGGAGGAAGTGGCCGGGTTCCTGCCTCACTCACACCTCGCCCGCCTGCCACCATATTCCACCACCATGTACCCACTCCCTCTGCTGTGTTTTCTGCTGTTTTCCATGTGAATTCATTGCCAGAGCTGTGTATCCGAGTGCCCGAGGCTACTCGAAGCTATGTGGATCAGCAAGCCACCTAGATCACGACGCCACTTGGGGTGTAGATGAAGCCACGTGGATCTACGAGCCTCATGAGTTACCGAGCCAGACATCCCAGGCCACATGCTGTGGTCTGCTGCTGCCCGACTTCATGATGTCACGATGCCTGCCTGACGTCACCTCGAGACGTATGCTGACATCACAGTGCTGCTGACATCACCTCGCGATGTCACTCCTGACATCACATGATGCCACATCGAGTGTTTCAGTAATTATGTCAGTACTGTCGCGAAGATTAAGAGAAGATATATGTCGTGTGTTAATTAATTCCTCTCAGTGTTCTCACATGTTAGTGTATGGCTTAGTGTCAATTTTGTGCACAGAAAAGCATCATTTGCTAGTTTAAGCCATGTTGTACCTCATGTACCGCGGGTGTGTGTAAAGTTTTCCGTGTGTCCAGTGTGGTCTTGAGCTAGACCAGTGTGTAGCACCACTGGGTTATTGTCACCCGGTGTGACCAACGCGTTTGACAGCTGATATTAGTTAGCCCTGAGCGTATGAGCCCCTTGTACAGAAAGCTCTTATGCTCATCGCTCATAGATGTTCTGCAGAATCGTACCTGCTACGATTAACATCGAGATTTGTTTCACTTCACCTCCAGACCCTCAGAGTGCAGTTATGTGTAGAGAAACAAGTCTGGGGACACTTAGACTAACCTCTGCTATAACTCAACTGCCGAGAGAATGACACTCGTCAAGCCACGGTTATCCCTGTCGGCAGGCACTGTGTCAGCCTCGTGTCACAAGCTTCAGTGAGCTTCTTCACAAAGATGATGTCACTTTGACTGCTAGCTCACTCACTGCAGTCTGGTGTATGATGTTACGACTCCCAGATGTTTCACTGAGTCGTCTCTGCCACAACTCACTCCACGCTTGCTGGCAGTGACAGCCCAGCGACAGTGCCAGTCGAGAAGTGTCCTCCTGAGTCGCTTGCCAGAAGTCCTGCCCAGTTGCCGAGTTTTGACGATGCCTCACTCGAGGGCACCAGCATGTCGTGCCCCAGGTTGAGTGAAACCTGCAGTGACTCCTACGATGACAGCTCCACCGTTCTAGAGGAGACTGTAACCCGTTATGTCACAGCTCAGCCGCAGCGATGTCTCCTGTGTTGCAGCATCTGTCCAGACGCAGGAAGGCGTGCAATGATGCCCATCGACGCTCACTGCCTATGACCACGATGTTTAGCACACCCCACCTGTTTTTTCTTCCCTCCCTGTAGGAAGTTTTTTTTTCCATGTCCATATGTATATACGTGTTTTTTATTTTATGTTCTGTGCCCTGTTCCTATGAGAGAGAGACCGAGTTTTTTTTACCACCAGTATTGTTGCGTCGGGACGACGCGAGGAAGGTGGCCAAGCAAATGTAGACAGCCTGTACTGTCTGCACAAACAGCCTATGCTGTCTGTCAGCTTAATTCATATTTCGCGGCACACAGGTGCTGCCCTCTAGGCCTGCCCAGGTCAGTGGGACGCTGGTCCCACTCGCTCACCCACTCAGCGGCCTAGAAGCAGACAACAGGGTGACTCCTATCTCCTCGCAGCCATGGCCCTCCTGGGCCATGGGGACTTAACACACGGCATGGGCACCCCAAATACCACAGTTAAAAAAAGTGTCCTGGAACCACGTATCATTTACTCCCCGCTACCAGAAACACCAAATAACCTCGTTCACAATTATTTAGGTATGCATAGTGGTCAGAGAGCCCATCCTAAGTCCGAGCCATCGGTAAATGGGTATGTCGCTAAGTGAGGAGAGGCTGTATTCATTTTAAGCTTTTAATAGTCAATAGACAGATTTCCTTGTGTATTCTGGAATGTGTGTAATTTGTATATATATTCCTTATCGGCAATACTTTCTTCCCTCTTAATCCATGGAAAGTGGTAACTAGCTCCTTGATCCAGGTTCTTGCAGTCATGCACTATTAATGGATTTTTTTAATATTAGTCTATTAGTTATGAAGTATAAAAAATATTTAAGTGAAGGCACAACAGTGGGAAATCAGAGGTCAGAACTTTATTACTGTCGGAATTTAAATCTTGATATTAGTCAATTTGTATGCTCATATATCAAACTGACTTACAGATTGTATTATCATAATTGTGATATTCGTTTAGATTCGTCTAAAGATCATCAAAAAGTTATCAGAAGAGATGACTGTGCCACTGCTAAATGTCCACAAGGCACTAAGTGGCTCCAGCTTGGAAGAATTCTTTGATGTAGTGGATGATGCAATTGCAGTCACAGGCGTAATGCTGAAGAAGAAAGACAACAAAAAAGACAGGTAATAATAATGATGTCAGCTTCTAGTACATATTTAGTTCTAGTAAGAAATCGTGAATAACTCTTGGTTTAACCTGACTTGAGTAATTCATTGTAATGCAAATTGGGTAGGGTCTTATTTTATTATTTTAACACTTTAAAATACATCTCACTAAGTAGTAAGTTGGTAGACAGCAACCACCCAGGAAGGTACTAACGACCTGACAGGTGAGTGTGCAACGGAAGCCTGTAATTGTTTTACATGATGGTAGGATTGCTGTTGTCTTTTTTCTGTCTCATAAACATGCAAGGTCTCAGATATGCCTTGCTACTTCTACTTAAACTTAGGTCACACTAAACATGCATTATTTTTTTTAACGTAAACCGTTTCCTACCGAGGCAGGGTGACCCAAAAAGAAAGAAAAATCCAAAAAGAAAGAAAAAACTTTCATCATCATTCAACACTTTCACCATCACTCATACATAATCACTGTATTTGCAGAGATGCTCAGATACAACAGCTTAGATGTTCCTCCAAACTGCCAGTATCCCAAACCCCTCCTTTAACCCTTTGAGGGTCGACAGGCCCTCTCCGAAACTCGTTCTCAGGGTCGGCCAAATTTAAAAAAAAAAATTATTTTCTCTTATGAAAAGATAGAGAATCTTTTCCCGATCATAAAGACACCAAAAGTTTGAAATTTGATAGAAAACTTACGGAATTATGCTTTCGCAAAGTTAGCGGTCTCGGCGATGTTTACGCATCGGCGATTTTGCCCACTTTGAGCCCCATTTTCGGCCAATTTCACTGTACTAGTCGACAAAAAACATGAATATTTCGCTAGAACTCCATTTTTTCTATCGAATGGGTGCAAGAAACCACTCATTTATGAAATTCAAACTATCCAGTACAGTGGTCAGAATTTAACAATTTTGCCATTTCACACAAATTTCAAAAGATGCAATTTCCGATAGGGTCCAGAATAAACAAGAAAGACATTCCTGTCACTAAAATGACATTTCCTCTAGTCATTAGTCATGTCTCAAGGCCCCTCTTATATTCTTTTGCTTTCCACTTTGAATTTTATTTTCACAAAAAATATAAGATTTACTGTTATGCAGACTACTGCATTGTGTATTAAAAAATGGTATAAATATTATTGGTGCACTTGTGAAAGAATATTAGACTCACCAGTTGACGTGTATTGCAGCTTGGCACGATTTGTTTACTTTTGAAGTTTGGTAAAAATCGAACATTTCTGCATGCTTTGAGCTCAATTTCAAGGCACCTTTCTTTGTAAAAACCAGTCAAAATCATCTCAATTTCTGTAATATGTCTTCCCTTCTATAAAATGAGACCAAGAAAACTAGAATACAACAATAAATACCAAACGAAAATACACTGCAAAGTCGCTGATTTATTAAAAAAAAATGGTCAAAGTTTTTTTTTTCTCATTATGCACTGTGTGCTGCAGGATTTTTTTTAGACTGTGCACACTGACCACATAGACCCATTCTTTCATATGAAGGCCTACCAGCTTTCTCCCACTAGATTTGAGGCCGCTAGAATTTATGAGTACTAGTACGTCAAAAACCCCTACGCGTAAGACATACTAGTACGACGAAAACCCTCAAAGGGTTAAAGTGCAGGCATTGTACTTCACATTTCCAGGACTCAAGTTCGACTAACCAGTTTCCCCGAATCCCTTCACAAAATATTATCCTGCTCACACTCCAACAGCTCATCAGGTCTCAAAAACCATTCGTCTCCATTCACTCCTGTCAAACATGCTCACACGTGCTTGCTGGAAGTCCAAGTCCCTCTATCACAAAACCTCCTTTACCCCCTCCCTCCAACCTTTTCAAGGACAACCCCTACCCTGCCTTCCTTTCCCTACAGATTTTTGTGCTCTTTAAGTCATTCTTCTTTGATCCATTCTCTCTAAATGACCATACCACTTCAACAAACCCTCTTCAGACCTCCGACTAACACTTTTAGTAACTCCACACCTCCTCCTAATTTCCACACACTGAATTCTCTGCATAATATTCACACCACATATTGCCCTTAGACAGGACATCTCCACTGCCTCCAGCTGCCTCCTCACTACAGCATTTGCAACCCAAGCTTCACACCCATATAAGAGTGTTGGTACCACTGCACGTTCGTACATTCCCTTCTTTGCCTCCATGGATAATGTTTTTTGTCTCCTCAGATACCTCAATGCACCACTCACCTTTTTTCCTTCATCAATTTTGTGGTTAACCTCATCCTTCATAAACCCATCCGCTGATACGTCAACTCCCAAATATCTGAAAACATTCACTTCTTCCATTCTCCCTCCCTCCCTCCAATGTGATATACAATTTTTCTTTATCTAAATCATTTGATACCCTCATCACCTTACTCTTATCTATGTTCACTTTCAACTTTCTACCTTTACACACCCTCCCTTGTCTGCTAACCTTTGCAACTTTTCTTTAGAATCTCCCATAAGCACAGTATCAACAGCAAAAAGTAACAGTATCAACTCCCATTTTGTATTTGATTCCCCATAATTTAATCCCACCCCTCTCCCCAACACCCTAGCATTTACTTCTTTTACAACCCTGTCTATAATATATTAAACAACCATGGTGATACTTCACATCCCTGTCTAAGACCTACTTTTTTTTATCAGGAAGTAATCTCCTTCTCTCCTACACACCCTAACTTAGGCCTCGCTATCTTCCTAAAAACTCTTTACACCATTTAGTAATTTACTACCGATTTCATATACTTGCAACATCTACCACATTGCCTCCCTATCCACTCTGTCATATTTTTTTTTTTTTTCAACAAACTGGCCGTATCCCACCGAGGCAGGGTGGCCCAAAAAGGAAAATGAAAGTTTCTCTTTTTAAATTTAGTAATTTATACAAAAGAAGGGGTAACTAACCCCTTGCTTCTGGCATTTTAGTCGCCTCTTACAACACGCATGGCTTACGGAGGAAGAATTCTGTACCACTTCCCCATGGAGAAAAGAGGAAATAAACAAGAACAAGAACTAGAAAGAAAATAGAAGAAAACCCAGAGGGGTGTGTATATATATATGCTTGTACATGTATGTGTAGTGGGACCTAAGTGTGTTGAAAGAAAGATATATATCCTAGGTAGTAGGTTGGTAGACAGCAACAGCCCAGAGAGGTACTACCATCCTGCCAAGTGAGTGTAAAACGAAAGCCTGTAATTGTTTTACGTGATGGTAGGATTGCTGGTGTCCATTTTTCTGTCTCATAAACATGCAAGATTACAGATACTTCTTGCTACTTCTTCTTACACTTACGTCGCACTACACATACATGTACAGGCATATATATATATATATATATATATTATATATATATTATATATATATATATATATAATATATATATATTTATATATAATATATATATATATATAATGTTTGATGGGTAGGTCCAGGATGTACATGTTATAGAGGGGCAACTGAATATATCAGATCATTATTTAGTTGTAGCTACAGTTAGAGTAAGAGGTAGTGGGAAAGAGGAAGTGGCAACAACAAGTAAGGAGGAGGTGAAAAGTGTTATTTAACTAAGGGAGGAGGAAAATTTGGGCGAGATAAAAAGGACTGTGGCAGAAAGGTGGTAGTGCAAGATGAGTAGTGGGGGGGTTGAAGAGGGTTGGAATAGTTTTAAAAATGCAGTATTTGAATGTGGGGCAGAATTTTTGTGGTTATAGGAGGGTGGGGGCAGGAGGAAAGAGGAGTGATTGGTGGAATGATGAAGTAAAGGGTGTGATAAAAGAGAAAAAGGTAGCTTACGAGAGGTTTTTACAAAGCAGAAGTGTTATAAGAAGAGCAGAGTATATGGAGAGTAAAAGAAAGGTGAAGAGAGTGGTGAGAGAGTGCAAAAGGAGAGCAGATGAAAGAGTGGGAGAGGCACTGTCAAGAATTTTAATGAAAATAAGAAAAAATTTTGGAGTGAGTTAAACAAGTTAGAAAGCCTAGGGAAAGTATGGATTTGTCCATTAAAAAACAGAGTAGGGGAGTTAGTAGATGGGGAGAGGGAGGTATTAGGTAGATGGCGAGAATATTTTGAGGAACTTTTAAATGTTGAGGAAGAAAGGGAGGCGGTAATTTCATGCACTGGCCAGGGAGGTATACCATCTTTAGGAGTGAAAGAAGAGCAGAATGTAAGTGTGGTGGAGGTACGTGAGGCATTACGTAGAATGAAAGGGGGTAAAGCAGCTGAAACTGATGGGATCATGACAGAAATGTTAAAAGCAGGGGGGGATATAGTGTTGGAGTGGTTGGTACTTTTGTTTAATAAATGTATGAAAGAGGGGAAGGTACCTAGGGATTGGCAGAGAGCATGTATGTCCCTTTATATAAAGGGAAAGGGGACAAAAGAGATTGTAAAAATTATAGAGGAATAAGTTTACTGAGTATACAGGAAAAGTATACGGTAGAGTTATAATTGAAAGAATTAGAGGTAAGACAGAATGTAGAATTGCGGATGAGCAAGGAGGCTTCAGAGTGGGTAGGGGATGTGTAGATCAAGTGTTTACATTGAAGCATATATGTGAACAGTATTTAGATAAAGGTAGGGAATTTTTTTATTTCATTTATGGATTTAGAAAAGGCATATGATAGAGGGATAGAGGAGCAATGTGGCAGATGTTTGCAAGTTTATTGGAAAGGTGGTAATTACTAAATGCTGTAAAGAGCTTTTATGAGGATAGTGAGGCTCAGGTTAGGGTGTTTAAAAAGAGAGGGAGAATACTTCCCGGTAAAAGTAGGTCTTAGACAGGGATGTGTAATGTCACCATGGTTGTTTAAATTTATATTTATTGAGGGGTTTTTGGGTAAAAGAAAGTAAATGCTAGGGTGTTCGGAGAGGGGTGGGATTAAATTATGGGGAATCAAATTCAAAATGGGAATTGACACAGTTACTTTTTTCTGATGATACTGTGCTTATGGAGATTCTAAAGAAAAATTGCAAAGGTTAGTGGATGAGTTTTGAGAATGTGTGTAAAGGTAGAAAGTTGAAAGTGAACATAGAAAAGAGTAAGGTGATGAGGATATCAAATGATTTAGATAAAGAAAAAATTGGATATCAAATTGGGGAGGAGGAGTATGGAAGAAGTGAATGTTTTCAGATACTTGGGAGTTGAAAGTGTCGGCGGATGGATTTATGAAGGATGAGTTTTAATCATAGAATTGATGAGGGAAAAAAGGTGAGTGGTGCATTGAGGTATATGTGGAGTCAAAAAACGTTATCTAAAGGAGGCAAAGAAGGGAATGTATGAAAGTATAGTAGTACCAACACTCTTATATGGATGTGAAGCTTGGGTGGTAAATGCAGCAGCGAGGAGACGGTTGGAGGCAGTGGAGATGTCCTGTCTAAGGGCAATGTGTGGTGTAAATATTATGCAGAAAATTCGGAGTGTGGAAATAGGAGAAGGTGTGGAGTTAATAAAAGCATTAGTCAGAGGGCAGAAGAGGGGTTGTTGAGGTGGTTTGGTCATTTAGAGAGAATGGATCAAAGTAGAATGACATGGAAAGCATTATAAATCTATAGGGGAAGGAAAGAGGGGTAGGGGTCGTCCTCGAAAGGGTTGGAAAGAGGGGGTAAAGGAGGTTTTGTGGGCGAGGGGCTTGGACTTCCAGCAAGCGTGCATGAGCGTGTTAGATAGGAGTGAATGGAGACGAATGATACTTGGGACCTGACGATCTGTTGGAGTGTGAGCAGGGTAATATTTAGTGAAGGGATTCAGGGAAACCGGTTATTTTCATATAGTGGACTTG